TGAGTGTCATCAACGTGGGGACACCAGGGCAGCAAGCCCCACCTGAGCCCCACAATGCTGCGGAGCAGGGGGGGCAGCATCCCCACAACCCCACACAAAGCCGGAGGCGCATCGGCATTGTGGGGGGAGCAGGCGGGGGGCTGCGGGGAGCCCAGCTGTCCCGGCACGCACCTTGCAGGGCCTCTGCGTGCACTCTCCTCAGGGCATCAAACTGCTCCTCCAGCTCCAGCTCCTTCCCCTTTTCCACCTGGGAAGCAGGAAGATGACAAACCCCACCTGTCCCGACGTAAGGGATGCTCTGGCCCTCCCTGCCCCCGCCATGACCCTCACCATTTCAGCCTTCCTTCCTAACCCCTTCCTCCTCCTGAAAACAGGAGATCTCAGCCCAGTGCGTGCCAGGTCCATGATTGCTGCCTGGGAAATCCTGGCTGGCCACACGCTCCCTGTCTGATTGCTACCCCCAAGCAGCACCCGCCTTTTCGACCGACCTGGATGTTAACATCCTGGGCGATTCCCGTGGTCCCTGCCCGGCCAGCATCCCGCAGCCGCTCCTCCTCCTGGCCTTGGAGGAGTCTCGTGCTCTCCGTCCTCTCCTCTCGCAGCTCTGCCTTCTCCTTCCCATCCTCAGGCAATAGGGTGGCATTGGCTGCAACGCAAACGTGGCTGAAATGGCACCGGCCATATCCTGCTAACCGGGCTGATCGGATGTCCCGGGCAGCCCACCTGCGAGCGCGATGGCCTGGGTTCAGCCCCTGTCCTCTTCCCACTAGACAAATAGCTCCCCCCCACATCTCACTGGTACAGATTAGCGCTAATTGGGATGGCGCTGGCAGGCTCAGAGAGGACACAGCTCATTAGGCTTTCTGCCCTGAGGATGACCTGTCTGCCTGAGAGGATGGGATGCCATCGTCTCTGGTATGCCATCATCTCAGGGATGCCCTCATCTCTGGGATGCCATCGTCTCTGGGATGCCATCGTCTCAGGGATGCCATCATCTCTGGGATGCCATCATCTCAGGGATGCCATCATCTCTGCCTGCCCGCACCAGCGCCATGTGGAGGCTGGAGCCATCGTCCCCATCCTCCTCAGCCCCGGCGCAGGCTGGCTGCCCTGGGGGCTGTCCTACTACTTTCTTAATATCACGCTGAGAAAGCACGGGGAGGGCGGGGGGAGACACACATTTTCTTCTCACCGTTCTCTGTCTTCAAGGCCGTGAGCTCCTGGGAAGGCAGTCCCCTCTGCTGCTGGGCTTTTAGCTGTCTCTGTCAGAGAGAGAGAGAGGGGGCTGGAGCAGGGGGAGACAGGGGGAGCAGGGGGCTGCAGGCAGAGGACACCCTGCAGCCAGACACCCTGCGCTGACCGTGCTTCAGCCCTGCTAAAACACTGCCTCTCGAGCAGCAGCGGGCCCTCCCCGACCCCCTGCCAGCCCCGAGCACCCGTGGGTGCGCACGTGCCGCCTGCCAGGCAGCTCCCAGCTTGTCTCATTTGCCGTGTCCCGGCCGCTTTGCTGCGCAGTATTGCCAGCCACCGACTGGAAAACCTGGGGGATGCTCACACCCCCCCTGACATGGTGCTGCTGCAAAATAGGCTCCGGCGGCAATACATCTGGTGGGGGAAGAGCAGACAGCATTTGGCAGGGCTCCCGTTATGGTACCTCCTTGCCACCCTCCTCCTGCCCTGTCCCCGCTGCCCCGGGATGCTCGGGGTCAGCCCGCTCCCCTGGCACTGGCACCATGCAGCCCCCCAAACACACCTCTCTGCTGCTGCTTTACACCACCGGGCTTTGACACGGCCCGTGCCGGAGCAGCAGTGAGAAAAGAAAAATAACCATAAATCAGAGGCGATGCCGACCCCGTGCACGGCTGGCAGCAGGCGAGGGCTGGCAGTTTAATTTATTCACTTGGGGAGGAGGGAGGGGAAAAAAAAAACCCCAAAGAGATGGGTTATATTTTTATCTGTTGCTGAAAAGATAGAAGCAAAGCTCGCCGGCTCACGCAGCTCTGCCTCCTCGTCGCGGGGCAAATCTTGCCCCCGATGCCCATCACCGGGTTGTGCTTATGGGTAGGGGTGTGGGTGCACCGTGGGCGAGGGAATCCACCTGCCGATGTGTCACCACTCTCCAGCCCCTGGCAAAGCCTCCCCTAAAAATACCCGTCCCTCGTGAAACCAGCTCTGCAGCCCGGTGGGCGCTGGGGACCCCGCTGTGCTGGCAGCACCCCGTCTTGGCCGTGCTGTCGCAGCAGCGTGGCCAAATACAGACCAGATTAGGGAGCCTGGCTTGGGGAAAAAAAGCGAGGCAAAGCCAACAGGCGTCCCCTCCCCGCCTCCCCCCTTCTGAAGCTGGAGGGAAAGCGCAGTTGCCAGAGAGAGCAGGAAAACTCTGAGCCTCTGGGAAGCCACGGCTTTTATCTTCCCTTCTATGGCGTGAGCGGCGGCGGCGTTGAACGCGGCCCAGGCAGCGGGGCGAGGAGGCACCAGGCGGTTGGGATTTGCCAGGGTTTGTTCTCGACGCCGACACGGCTCGCCCTGCAAATGCAGGGTGGTCCAGGATGCCGCCGAGCCCCGGCAGCCCTGCCTGCAAAGGGTGCCCTGCCTGCCCCCCTCCCCGCACCCATCTCATGCTGATGTGCACCCCCCCCCGGCTATTTAATGTACCCCGTGTCCCTTCGTGGGTTTTGGAGTCTGGTGGGGGGGTGGATGAGACAGTCAGGCTCTGCAAGCCCAGGGGCATCGCAGGAACTTCAACCCCCCTCCCATCTTTTACTGTGACAAAGCAAAGGCTGCGCCGGAGGTGGGGGACCATCCTGGCATGGCGGGGTCACACAGCCCCCAGGGGTTTTGGATGATCTAAGCTTTGCTGGGAATGGGATGCTATTACCTCCTCCAGGAGTCACCCTCAAACCTCACCCGCCCAAAGCAAACCGTCTCCTCTGCATGAGTCCCGCTCGCTGGCGAAGGCGATGCCCAAGGACAGAGAGCCCAGGGCTGGTCACCCCTGGTCACCCCCCCTAGCATGAGCAATGTCCCCAGCACGGATCCAGGGCACTTTCACATCTCCCCCATGCCCCAAATCCAGCGGGACGGGGCCTCAGAGCCCCTCGGCCGCTCAAGGAGGGTGATTTGAGACAACTGCAACTGAACTTAGAAACGGCTAAAGGGAGCAAGAGGTATGCCAGAACCCGACGGCAAATCCAAACACCTGCCCTGAAGCTATGAGTTCGGCACCCTTCCTACCTCCAGCAGCAATTAAAATAGCTTCTAGAGCTAATTTTACTCCTAAGCACTCAATTGTCCTTTGGGATGAGAGCTCCACCGCCAAAGCCAAGGTGAAACCCAAAATGTGGCTGAAAACTGAGATATAGGGGCACCTTCCACTACCACTTCCAGAGCGGCACGACGGCTCTGATACCGCCTGGCACATTTTGGAGAGCTGGAAGACAGTCCCGGGCTCCGCTGTGTGTGAAAGGAGCAAGTTGGGAGTTGCTCCAGCTTCAACAACTTTGGCCCGGGAAAGAAGAAGCCCAAAACATCCTGCAGGTGCGGGACGTCAGCAGCGCGGCTTATCCTGTAAGGTCTCAGCATGGAAACCTCTTGGCTTTGAGGAGGCTTCTGCCAAAAAATACCTTCTAGCTATTAAAACAGTAAAAAAAAAAAAAAAAAAAGTATCCGTGTTCTTAGAACTAAATATTTTTAATGGTCTGGAGGAAAACTGTTTATGGATGGATTAATTGGGATTTCCAGCAGAACCTGAGGCATCTCAAAAGGTCTCTGTGGTGGGGAGCGCCCGTGCAGAGGCGGCCGGTGCGGTGCGGGCAGCTGGGTCAGCCGCAGCCCCTGCTTCAGCTTTTAGCGTGAGGTGGGGTTTTGTACTGTATTTTTCTTCCTCCTTTCCTGTTTTACAAGTGTGTTAAGCAATTAAACCACGCAACGTTACCGTCAGGGAACAAAATCACAAAGAGGCAGGAAACGAGCGTTTAAATCCCCACGCTGCTCCCGGGGACGAGGTTTTGCTTTGTGGCTGTGCAGAGGGGAGCCAGGGTTTGGTCCGTGACCCTAAAACCTCCCCGAGATCTGCAGCAGATGCTCAGTGCTGCCAGAGCAACGCTGGCACAGGTCCGTGGGACCTGTCTTGGTCTCCACTGCTGTTTTTCCTCCGGCGACGGTTGTGTTACAAGATGGCTATCACCTCCCGTACAGTCAGATCTGTGCCGCAGACCGTACGCAAACCCTTCAATGCCGTTGACAGCCTCGAGTTTTGCATCCTGACCTTTCCCTGGCTCCTGCTGCTACATATAGTTCTTATATCTCCAAAATAAATTCACCCCAGCGCTGGAAGGTGGCCAAGCCTCAGCCCTCATCTTTGGGGAAGGCGTCTTGGCCTTTCTCACGCTTGGGAGAGCGACCGAAGGGCGAGCGGTGACCGCGAGCAGGTGGATGGAACCGGAGGAGAAGGGATCCCCCGGGGGACAGTGCCTGAGCTCGGGGACGAGCTCTGACCGCAGCACTTGCGCCCGTGCCTCCTTATCGCCCCGCTGCCCGCAGACCGGCGACCGAAGGACGAGGCTGCCAAGCCGCCTCCCCCGGGGCACGCAGCGGCGCCTGGTATGCCGTCCGCCCACCAGACCCATCCCAGTACGGGCTCCCCAAGGTCACCTCCAACCTGGGACTGGCCCCAGAAGCTTCCGCAGCCCCCAGCCCCATGACAGCCCCCAGCCCTGTGATGTGCATCCCGGGTCTGCCCAGGCTCACCCTTGGGGTCTGAGCGCTCCCCCATCCCTCAGCAACCCCAAGGGACCAGCTCAGCAAGTCCACCCATCGGCAGCGGGAGGGTGAAGGTCTCCCCCCCTGTTTTTTGGTAGCCTGTACACAAGAAGTTGGGCAGGAGCGGCTCGATGTCCGCCCTTACCCCTTTTTGGCCATAAAGGGGATTTTTGGTGTTGCTTTCGGGATTAATTTGCAATTTAGTCACAGCAGCAGGGCTGTTTTATGGGGCAGAAGCCATGGTGCGCAGCGCCACGAGGCTGAGCAGAACAACTCGAGAGTGGGCAAGTGCAGGAAGGGAGGTGTCTGCGGGCAAATGACTCCGACTTAAATTTCCGCATTTCAGTAAATGTGCGGCTCTCAACACCTGGAGCCTCTGGGCTGCTGTGCCCTCTCCTCTGCCCCTTCTTGCGAGATCTCAGAGTCACAAACCAGCCCAGAAGTGTCTGATCTTATGACATAGAGAAGAGTGTTGGGTTTGGGTTTTGTTGTTTCGTTTTTTTTTTTTTCCCATGCTACGGAGCCTGCAAGTGCGGTAAATAAAGGCACTTACTGGCTCCGAGGCTGGGGAAGCTCCGCGCCTGCTCCCCCCACACATCCCAGCAGCGGGTTGTGCTTTGGCCGCATGGTCCCGAGCAGCCGAGCTCTCACAGCTGCCCCTGCAAAGGATCGCCCGTGTAGAGGGACATGCCAGCACCGTGGGGCCTTTCCGACTCTCCTCCTGCCCCTGCCACCCGCCAGCAACCACAACCCACCGACACCAGTAGGCACGGCACATCCGACTGCACAAACAACCCCTGAGGCCAATGGCGGGGCGCTAAAGCAGCATGAGCACGTCAAAAATTAGTAATAATTAGCAGCAGATAATTTCTAGACGTTAACCCGCAAAGGAGCGCAGAGCAACGCACCGAGGTCTGCTGGGGACTCAGAGCTTTCCCCTGTAGAAGTGTCGCCTTCGGCACAAGGGGGGACCCGGCACAAGGCAGGGACACAACTTTTGGGACGAGGCAGGATGCTGTGGGAAGATGGCAGAGATCTAGGGGGGACCCATCTCTGTCCTGTATGGGACCAGCATTTCCAACAGGCATTGTCACCCCGCAGGCTGCACCCCATTTAGTCCAGGCTTCCCCGTGATGTGGGGGGAGAGCCCGGGGGGGGGCAGCGGGGCAGGTGGCTGC